GAGTTGGACAGATCTGTTCAATAACAACATTCTGAACATATATTTAATATAAAGTTAGGTTTTACAGACCAAAGGCTCTGGTAGTTCAGGAGCAAAGTGCAGGAGGAGAGGAGAAGTCAGGACTGATCGCGTCRCTGCRGSAGCAACTAAACTTGCTCTCACTGAAAGTCCCGCCCTTCTCTGCTCTGATTGGATAAAACGGCTYTGGAATTCGTCTGATTTGTTGAAGGCAGTGTCCATTTAATCCTCATATCAGGGTCCCACTGTGGCGCACCGAACAATCCATTCACACCAGTGCCGCTGGATTTTTTTTTTTAAGAAATCAGGTCGCCTTTGCGACCAAACTGGTCGCACTCTAGAGCGCTGCTAGCTGTTGTTTTGGCAGACAATCAGGTACAAGCTTAGGTACGCAAAGGAGCTTTATGACGTCCCATCTGGTGCGCTTTTTCCTTTTTTGACAGCACAAGCGCACCTGCGCACCGCTTATGTGCACCTCTGATAATAATCACTTATTAATAATTTATAAAGTGTTTACAGATGAATTAATAACCTATCTATAAACTCTTTAAAAGCCATCTAAAAGGGGAGCCTTATTGTAAAGTGGTACTCTTTTAAAAAAATACATTACATCACAAGTGTTTGAACATGTATGACTGGTTACATGTATATACACCTTACCAAAACTGGGGATTTGTGTGAAAGGAAGCTGAACAAAGACTTYGCCCCTCTATGAATATTGTGACCCCTTGATGGCCCCATACTCAAAACAATCCTAGATCCGCCACTGCTCTGAAGAGAGTTGCAGAAAACACGTCACCAAATCATCCCCAGTTAATCGGGGCGTCCGTATGTAGCTAAGGGCACATCAAAAAGCTGAAAAAAAAAAAACAAATGTTTTGAATCATTAAAAATAAAATTAAATCTGTTTTTAATCATATTTTATATATGATATATAATAATATAATGAAACGTTATTTATGAAAGATTTTGTTCTGTTCTTATCAACAGTATGATGAAACGTTTAAAACATGTTATAAAGTTCTTATAAACACTTACCAAACTTATCAAACAAGAGAGGTCAGTCCATTGCGGAGTCCTGACGTCTGGGCAAAAGAGATTTGACAATGATCATAAGATATATGAGTACTGGACAGCGACAAGGTGAAACAGATATACATAATTAATCCATAACACTCCCTCCTCTCGAGTAAACAATACTCAAAACCAAACCAAATGGAAAAATCATGAAACGTCCAAACACAAATGTATCACCCAACAACCAATACAATGGAGAAATAAGGGAAAAATAGTGCAAGTTAAATGACGACCAACAACATATACATTCAATCAATGTAAGATACAACAGGAAAAAGGCTTAAATGACAAATGAAGCATCATTACACATCAGAAAAATCGATGAAGAAAGACATGTCGAAATTTAAAAAAAAACTTCCTGCAGACAACGCCAATTTCTGTCGTCGCATGATTTACTAAGAATGCAGAAACACGTTGGAATGATGCACAGAAAGTCTGCGTGTATGGTGGTCAATAATGATTTAATTCTGAGCGACAAACAAACAGGACTCAATCAGGAAACTCTGTCGGCTTGTGGCTGACACGTCAGCGGAAAGCAGCCAATAATGTACACCATGATAACATCATATGACGTGCTTATAACCAATCACAGATCGACGAATGTACTGCCCAGCCAATCACAGGGCTCTCAGCTCAAAGAGTTTCTTATCAAACAAGAGAGGTCAGTCCGTTGCGGAGTCCTGACATCTGGGCAAACAGATTTGACAATGATCATAAGATATATGAGTACTGGACAGCGTCAAGGTGAAACAGATAGATAATTAGTCCATAACAGATGTAATATTTATTAGTGAATAAAAGTAAGAAAAAAACATTCTAAAAGCTGATGTTTCTTTACGTATTCTGTAGCACTGATTGTTGTTTTGCAAGGGGAATTGCCATCCAGAAGCTAATACTGTTTTGGGGCAGGGTCATGGCACTGAAAAAGTTTGGAACAAAGCTCCAAAAAAAAAAAAGCCAAACGCTGTGAATTTGTGATGTGACCGCAGAGCTGTTCCTGCCTCCTCATCCTCTTACGTCTCTGTTGTTTCGCTTGCAGGTCGTAGCTAAGAAGCGCAGAGATCGGGGTCTGCCGCGGGCCTTTGAAATCTTCACAGACAGCAAGACATACGTGCTGAAAGCGGAAGATGAGAAGCACGCCGAGGAGTGGCTGCAGTGCATCAACGTGGCTGTGGCTCAGGCCAGAGAGAGGGAGAACAGGGAGGCCACCACCTACCTGTGAGACCCCCGACAACATGGAGACGGATGCAAAGGTGCAGCTTATCAAACCCCAAGTTTCAATCTAACACAGGGGGTTTCCTCCTAAACAATTACACACAACAACCGGTTCTTTGGTTTTTATAACTTTATGAATGTCACTTAAAAAAAGACTTTTTATCATGACTTTTTTTTTATTTGTTTTGAGACTTGAAACTAGCAACTTCCTGTTACAGCTCATCATAGCCTGCTCATTTCTTACCCTGGAGACCATAAATGAATGAACACCTGGATGTTGCACCTTTTGTTGCTCAGATGTGAAAAACTGTCGAAACAACCAATTTGGGGATTTCTGAGTGAACTGCCGAGGACGACTGAGAYGTTTTTGAGTCAGCTTTGCAACAAATATTTAATGGGAGCACGGATCCCGTTTGGACTTGAAGTAATAATGAGACTGAATTTTCTGGAAGCTGGAAAAATGAAGAGGAGGCTAATGAAGAGCAGATGGGAAGAGTCTTTGTACATGGAGGTTTGTTTGTAATGAGGGTACAGCATTAAATAAATGCTATAAAATGTCAGGATGTAGCAGTTTTTATTAGCTTTTTTACCCTTTTGCTCTCAAACTAATGGTGCATTCCATTTGTACTCCGACGTTGGAGTTTCCAAATTCCATGTTGACAAATCACTCACTCTCAGAATATCGGAGATTCCTGACCAGCCTCTCCTTCAAAATCCAACATGGCTGACTTCACGAGCTGTGATAACTGAGCTAATAAACGTTTTAGGTTCACTTTTTATCAAACAGTCAGTCACACACAGTCCTGCTCAACCACAAGTGATAAACTAACACAGACGGTCCGATGTCATTTGCAGATCCGACTCCTGAGCTAACGGGAAYGCAGCGTAACGAGGCTCCCGACAGCTGGTGCAGACTCAGAGAACAAACTTCTGTTCTTTTGCAATCTTGGCATGTTGCGTTCTATTTCTAGCTTTCCCAGAGGACAAGTATTGTCAGAAATTYACTCCATATTTAAAAAAAACCCTGTCATCTCAGTTGTTGCTTAACCGATGAGTTTAGACCACAGAACTCCGAGAAAATACTGGGGTGAAATATTGGTTTCCTTGTGGATTTGGAAACATTGCCAAGTCTATATTTTTCATTTAAAAAAGACTGAAGTTTTTTTTTTTGTAGTGCCTAAAGRAAAACAGTGTTTGAAACCATATGTTTTATAAAAGAGTTTAAAAGCTCAAATTGTTTGTGTGGATAAAGTAGCGCTGATGTAAAAAAATAGAGCTCCAGTTGTTCAGATTTGAATCACTACCTTCAACTGTGGGTCCTCTCTAAAAAATAAAAATGTTAGAACRTAGAATCTGTGGATCATCGCTTCAAATGTTCTTTCTGATTAAAGTGCCATTATAATCGTATTTACTTACATGGCAACCAGCAGTCTGGTGCCAGTGTAAGATCACAATTTACAATACATACCACCTTAAAATATAAAATGTTCACATTAATTTAGATCAAGAGCAACAGCAGAAAGGTTGGTGACTGTTTGTGAGCTAAGATAAGATAAGATAAGATAAGATAAGATAAGATAAGATAAGATAAGATAAGATAAGATAAGATA